TGAAGAAAGTAAGTTCTCAACAGAAGGAGGATGACTCCAAACTTGTTCTTCAAGAAAGACAAGCCTTTTCTTAGCTGCAGAGGAGGGAAATGTAGCTGAAAAAACACCAAAAAATTCGTAAGTGTGATGACAGAGTAAAACTTGACATGGGAATCAACCAGAGCACTTCTTATGAATAGAGCGAAAATGCTCTATACCTAGCTTCCCAAATTTGTGAGGAATAGGGAGTTTACTCGACTGAGATACAAACCAGTTCCCCCTAACAATTATCATTCTCTTTTTCCACCTCTTCTTGGAGGAAGGGAGGTCTGTGCAAATCCTTTGCTGATGAGAAGAAGTAAAATAAAAACGGCCAGGCTCTGTCCCATGCCTGGAGATGGAGTAAGTAATCAAGAGGTCCGCGAGAGTCAAGTCAAGACTTTCTAGCCTTCAGCGAACAAGAAGAGTCGAGACTATTCGAAAAAAGTTAAGGTTGACTTGAAGAAGGGCAATGCCTAACTTATTAAAAACTAAATGATAGAAAAGGTGAAGAGGAAAACGAAGAGCATAAAGATGCCCAACCAATAAAAGTAACTCATTCTCCTCAACCCCTTCTCCTGAAGTGAAATCGGCTTTCTTGGGGTACACAGCAATTTCTACACCCTCAGGGATTTCAAATTCCTCCATCACAGATTCGATGGTGAACTTGATACGCCAAATGGACAGAATCTTTTTTCTTTCCTTCTTTGAGAAAATACTATTTGATTCATCGGAAGTAGACACTTCAGCTTGGGGAAGAAAATCACCCATTCGCATGGTTGAATTGTTTGTGGATTCAGGAGGGTTAGAAACCATAGGAGGAGGAACCCAAATAAGACTAGGGGAAGACGAGGGCGTAGACTTAGAGTCTACAATCTCTATAGGGTCGTGAGTGGGTAAGGTGCTCATGGTATGATATTAAAGAATTGGTGAAGAACTAACCTGGAGTCACGACGAAGCAAGGAACACAGTGAGTGCAATGAACGCAGTAGGGGCAAAAGTAAGTTTTGAGGAAGCTCTTTGGTCAGAATCACAATGGACACTTCTTGAACCACCTTTTGTAAAATTGGCAACTGTGCAACTTCAATTTCCTTTTAATTAGGAGCCGTAGTCCAATTAAAAAGGGAATTGGGGGCAAAGTGTGGGGGGAAAAATCCCCCTCCAATAAAAATCATCCACGTAGCCATAGTAGAATTTTTAATCTCTTGATGGGTTACAAAAGCCCAGCCCTATTCAAGCCCAGATAAAGTCACCGATAGCCTAATATCGCTAATGTTGAACTTTCAGCCCATAAACAAAGTCATTTGGACTAAGTTGCATTCGGCCCAAATTCATTTAAAGAAGGAACCATTCCTGCTAATCAAAGATCCAACATAGAAGGAAAGTTCTATGAAGGGAAAGTCTGGCATGGAAAGAATTGTAAAAGGGAAGAATTCTACTTGTAAAGAATGATGTATATGGAATGAATTGAAGGACAAGTAAGGTGAGTCCTATCATAATTCCACCACCTTTTTGTATATAAATAGAGGCTTAGTCCTCCAATAACAGCTATAGAGCAATACACGCTTTTCTCTCAATAGTTCTTGTTAATTTTTATTTTTCTTAAGTGAGTTGTATTATTTCTTTAATTCTTTTTTGGATAAGAGAAATTCTCCACCTACACACGTGTATTGGCCCCACAACACACGCACCATTCTATGACTTTAGAGGGAAAAAAAAAAATTTGGACTTTTTCTTTTTGGCGACCAAGAGATCTTAATTTTACTAATTTTTTTTTTAATTTTTGATTTTGGATATAAATACATGTACCTAAATTAAGGATTGAGAAGGGGAAATAAAGACATTGTTAGTATTTTGTTAAATAGGATTATGTGTGAAATAAAGAGTTCTACTTTAAAAAAAAAAAAAAAAAAGAAGAGAAAATCTACTCCATTGATTCATTGAAATCTAAAAACAATTAGGGGTGGGCAAAAAATCCGCCAATCTGTGAACCCGATCCTATTTGATCCGATCCGTACAGATCGGATCGGATTACCAGATCCACGGATCGGTGGCGGATTCTAAAAAATTGAATCCGTAGTCTACGGATCGGATCACGGATTAGGCTGTCAAAAATCCGATCCGATCCGTGGCAATCCGTGGGTAATCCGTAATATATATATATATATATATATATATATATATATATATATATAATATAATATAATATTAATATATAGCAACTCTATCCGTGGCAATCCGTGTGCCACATACCTTACGTTTTTTATTTTTTAATTTGTTTGGTAAGTATTTACTGATAGTCTACGGTTTGAGGGGATTCATGGAGATTGTTCTGCTACCCATTTTTTTTTCACTGCACTGTTAGTCTGTTACTTCTTTCTTTTTTTTTTTTTTTTTTCACTTCACTGCTACTTTTGGACCTTTGGTTATGTAATATTTGCCTATTTGGTTCACTGCTACTTTTGACTTTTGGTTATGTAATATTTGGCATATGGATCTGCTATCCCTTTTTTTTATTTCACTTCACTGCTACTGTTATGTAATATTGGCATAGTCCAACTGTTTTTTCGGATAATTTGGATAACTACTATCCTCTTGGTTATGCAATATTTTATAGTTTGATTATTCTTGTTATTATGCATTTAAATTGGGTTAATCTATATTCTATTTTACACTTCTGTAATTGGATATGAAATTGGTAAAAAATTAAAAATAGACTAATTTAGAAAATTTAGTCCGCCAATTGGATCCGATCCGATCCGATCCGTCATTTCACGGATCCGATCTGATCCGATTCGTGGACTAACGGATTGGTGGCGGATTCAACATTCTCCAATCCGTTGTGAGCGGATCGGATTAGGAGTGATGCCTAATCCGATCCGATCCGATCCGTGGCCACCCCTAAGAACAATATTCATAAAATTAACTTTATATATAAGTGTGGAAGGGCAAGAGTTCTCCATGTTTTTCTCACAACTGTAGCGGTGGGAATAAGAAGAAAAGAAAGAGATGCTATTTTGCTAGAAAACAAAAGCACCGAAGAATTAGGAAGAAAAAAAACAGAGACGATGGTTAAATATATAACTAGGTTAATTTAGCAAAGGGGTAATTTTGGAATTATATAAAAAAATACTCTTAAGTTGTTTAATGTATGGTGAACCTTTTGTTGATTAACAAAAAGATTTAAAAATAGGACTAATCTCTAACGTTTATTTAAAAAGGGATTAATGTCAAATCCTATACAAAATAATGGGACTTGAGTCAAAAATGCCCTTAGAACATTTTGTTAACTAGAACTGAAATTGCTCTCGATTGTCTTTTGAATGTTTAACGGCTAGTTCCTTAATACTGGGCCATCTTTTGTTAATTGCTATGGGCCTTGTTTGGCTTGTTTTTGTTTTGTCTATGACTTGTAGATGGAGTCTGGCCCAATATTTTCTTATATTGGGCTCATGTAATTATCCATATATCTATACAATTGTTTCAATTTTCGGGGGGAAAAAAAAATGGCTCTTTTCTTGACTGCTTATCTTGCCTTTGGTTGTTTAAAAATAAAAATAATAAATAAAGAAAAGATAATTATTGTTAATTTTTTCAATTTTAAGGAAGGCATTGCCTTCTCAGAGAGACACAATCACCATAGGCCAGCTCATTTGTAGGGCTATGATCAGATCAAGATTTGTATGACCAGCTCGTTTTTATTAGTGCATGGGTTCTGCCCATTTAAAATGGGTCATTTTACTTGAGTAAATATTAGGAGTTTGAACTAGTGTTTATATTTTATGGATAATTTCAAAAAAATGGGGTTTTGGAGGTAAAAGGTCAGAAATATGGAGTCAAATTTCAGTTTTTCAAATAAATAGAATTTTATGAAAGGTTGACGTGAACATGAAAATTTGTTGCGAAATGACCCAACTACCAATTCAATTGATATGCCCTTTCTCTCTCTTTTATCACTTTAGGGATTGACGGCTCCCTGCCTCCCATTGACATAGTCGAAGAAGAGAAAAATCGGCTGGAAAGTTGCGATGTCGAGGTGAGTTCAGGCTTCGGCACACAAAAACTAACACATAAACCAGCAACTATGTCGCGATTTCGAGGTGAGTTTAGGCTCCGGTGAGAAGATGCTATTTCCAAAGGCGATGAGAAATTTCGATCGTAATGGGTACCAAAACACTACACTTTCCCTCTCTATTAGAAATTTGAGCGAACCACAAGGAACGTCGGCAAATAAGGACGGGCAAGAGGGGTAAATACTATATACTAAGAGAGGGGTGGTAGCCAAAAGTCTCTCGAGTAAAGAGAAGGAATAAAGTCCAAGAGAAGATGCTATAGAAGGAATAGAGTCCACGAGAAGATGCTATCTCTGGATAATTGGATCAAGAAATCCTAGAATCATAGAAGAGAATAAACAATTCAACACATCAAATCTACATATCTTGTCTTCAAATTGAACTTTAGAAAGCCAACTCTACTCCTTACCACACCCTGACTTACCTTTAGCTGTGTCAATGGCATCCTAAAATGATAAAAGAGAGAGAAAGGGCAAATCAATTCAATGGTTAGTTGGATCATTTCGTAACAAAAACTTCATTTTTTTGGAATCATTCCTATATTTTAGTAAGTGTTATTTCTATTTCATTTACCTTGCCTAAACTTGTCATTTTCACATAAATAAAAACAGAAAAGAAGAAAAAAAACAGAGAAAGAAAACAACAACAGAAATAAAAAAGACAAAAAGGTTACCAAACACGGGTGTTTAATTTTTTTGCGTTACCAAATAGAGGCTTAGTTTTTTTCAAACTCCTTTTCTCAGGTGTAAAATTTCATTTAACCTCCATAAAACTTCATTTATAAAATTGGAGTCTAATTTCATTAATTAAAACAATTAATTTGAAACACTAATCTAACAAGTGGATTTTCTTATCTTCCTAAAACATTTGGGGTTTCAAATTCAAACCTCATTTATATTTAAAAAAAAAAAGAAAAAAAAACCAACATTTATTTCTTCATTCGAAACATGTAGTTAAAAAACCACAGGTTTCTGGTGCGAGAGTAACGACTGTTGCAATTTTTTGGCCACAGAAATGGCTATTGCCGCCACCGCGAGAGTGATGGCAGTAGCCGGAGGAACACTTCACCATGCAAACCTCACGACGTCGTTTCTCCTCAAACCCCACTCTCTCCCACACAAGGCTCTTTTTCTCAATCGCAGTCTCTGCAAATCACCCAGAAGACCCTTCACTTGCAGATCACTGTACAATCCCATCGACGTTCAGATCAAAGAGGAAGGACTACCCGAAACCCTAGATTATCGGGTCTTCTTCGTCGACCACTCTGGCAAAAAGGTAATTTCACAGTTCATATACTATCACATGCCCAATTTTTTAATTTTTTTAAAGTTATTTTTTCCTTAATTTCTTGAAATGGTATGCGTTGATTATGTATGTGAATGATTGAGAAAAATGAATATTTACTTATAGACTGTTCCTGAAATGGAAAACTTTCAATTGGGTATATTTGATGTTGGGGTCTTTTAAGAATGAGATAAAAAAAAAAAAAAAAAAAAAAAAAAATTAAGATAATTTTTTTTTGAACAAACTAATAAATTTAAGAACCTAATTTGAATTGATAATATTTTCGTTTATTACATGCACAATTTTTTTTTCTCAAGGTATGTTTGGGAGCACTGAATCTGCTCATTCCATTGGTCATATACTATTACATGTCCAATTTTTTGAATTCCTTGCAATGTTATGGATTGAAGATGTATGTGAATGATTGAAAATATGAATGCATACTAATATACTGTTTCTGAAATGGAAAACTTTCAATTGGGTACACATTTGATGTTTTTGGGTATCAGTCTATGTTAATGAATTGGTGTGGTTGGTCTTGAGTAAAGTGGGTATATGAAAAATTGGACAGATGAGACAACACAACAAATTTCTGATTTCCAATTTTCATCTCATCTGATAAATTAGGATTATAGAGTTTGGTGTTTTTGTTTGCGAGTTAAGGCATGAAAAGTATCATATAGGTTCTGTATGATTGGTTTGATTAATAGACATAGATTGATATTGATGTTTTCAAGAAGAGTTTGGATGTGTATACTTCTGTATTATTTGATAGTTATAATTATCGGTTGTTCTCAATTTCAGGCCTGAAATATATTTTTTCCCTTTATCTTGGTCATTTGGATAACGGGTTAACTCATTGCATAGGTTTCCGCTTGGCATGATATCCCATTGCACTTGGGTGATGGGAATTTTAATTTTATTGTTGAGATACCCAAAGAAACAAGTGCAAAGATGGAGGTTGCTACCGATGAGCCATTCACTCCTATAAAGCAGGACACAAAGAAGGGAAAGCTTCGTTACTATCCGTAAGCTTGTTTATTCGGTTGCTTTGGAAACATCATAATGGTATTCTTTATATTGGGAATCTTGCTGAATGGCAGACTATTGAGATTTGAGACCACTCGTTTCAAAGGAACAAATAACTTGTAAATTAATTTAACTCCTAAATGACTAAGTGTTGTCCCATCTATTTGAGATCGGATGCTACTCTACTCTAGGTTTTACCTTAGTTAGACCACACATTACCATACTCCTTCCAGTATTGCTTGAATTAGTTCATATATTTCCTACAGTTGTGCCTTAAATGTGTATCTTGTCCTGCACCAGGTGTATAAAGTAGTTGTATTAATCCATAAAAGTTTCATTGACATTGTTCTATCCAATTTTCTAGTAACAATTCTTCTTTTGAATTCTTATTAACTAATATTCCTACTCTATTTCTTAATGTAATAGAGTTTATATCTTGTGTTTTCAATTTTCCTAACTTTCTATTTTTTAACCTAGTTTCTTGTAGGCATGCTATATTGCTTTTTAGGATCTTAGTGGCAACCGCTTTGTCCCTCTACCTATCAATGTTCCTGTATTTCAAGTAGCCAATTTAAATCCTACGTTACCTAGATTCTCCTATTTTCCTAAATGTATCTGTTTCGACATAACACAACAAGGGTATGGGTATGGGATATGTGTCTGACAAACGTACCAAAATCAGACACTTGGATCCTCCAATTTTGATGGTAGAATAAGAAGGAAAGTTCAAATGTGATAGCAAAGATGAGTTAACTACTTCTGAGATAGATGGAATCTCTCTTTTTTCACCATATTTCATTTATGTTTCATTGTTATTTAGTATACTTTTAAAGAATAATAGCTTCATGCATTATACTTTTTATGTAAGATATATATATTTTAAGTATGTAATACGTGTCCACACACCCGTGTCCAAGTTCCTGACACATTTCAAGCCAAGTTCCAGACTCATACTCATAACCGAAACAAGTAGCCAAGTCCAGATAACTTAGTAATTAAATCTACCATATTGGATAATCTTATTTACACGTGCTCTTCTAGTATTCAGAACGGTATGGGAACCCTACCCACTTTTCACGACACCATGTGCCAATGCAGCTCTGCCAACCGGTAAAACAACTAGGAGTTGATGCAACACATCCCTTGAAGGGATTTTTGTAATATTTGCTAAAAAATTATCTGGATTCATGTTGATAAGGGATAGGGCAATGGTTTTATGCTGGCTGTCTATTATCTAACCCAACTCTCCTACTTTTTGGATTTGGGGCTGGTTTTTCTAAGTATATGACACTAGGCAGGACATGGGTCAGTGGTCTACTGAACTTATTTTTATTTTGTGTAAATTACATTGACATTCCTTCAGGTTAGGTCAAATCTCACATAGATGGACATTTTGGTTTTAACTTTCACTCACACCCTCTATCTAAAATAAGGTGTGAAATATCATTTATGCCCTCACTTATTTAATATATTTTAATAGAAAATATTAAATTTATTAAAGACAAAAGTGCCCTTAATTATAAGACAGAACATCTCTCATATATGTATATATACACATGTGTGTGTATATATATATATACACACACGGTCGATTGCAATATCATCAATCTTTGATTCGAGAAGTACAACAAGGAAGATGACCTTGAGGAGGAGGAGGAGGAGTTCGGTTCCGACGACCACAACTCGTACTCGTCGTTGCCGCCGATCGACGAGAAGGACGTGGTTGTGTTGAGGGAGTCAATTTCAGTGACTTTGTGGCAAAAAATCGGTATGTGAATCAATTCCAGATCAGAGAACTTCATACCAGAGACTAATTGGGGTTTCAGGTTTTTGAATTGTGAAAGAAAAATTTGGAGTTGATATGTGGATTGGTCTTTGCCTCTCTCTCTCTCTCTCTCTCGCTCTCTCTCTTTTTCTTCAGTCTTTGGTCTCTCGTACTGTGGAGAATGGAAGACTTTGTGAGTAAGTAAAGGGTCTAGCAATGGAGTTGTCGGATCTTTCATTTTTGTTACTTGTTAGTCATTTCTTTGTATTCTCTCAACTTGTATTGGTCGGAGGTCTTTTCAGCTTTGAATATATTATTATATATGTGTATGAAATTATGAATTGTGAAAGTTCAGTGAAGGCGTTGTGACTTGTACCTTCTGATGGGGTTACATTGAAAGGCTGCTTGTACACATTAAAGACAAAAAGGACTTGTTTTGGTGTTTTTTATTTTGCCTTATTTGTTGTATACAAGAGGAAGATGGGTTGTAAATAATGCTGGTGATGACCCTGATTGTGTTGGTGTTGGTGTGTTGGAATCAATAATGATGGTGGTGGTTGTGGGGGTGGGGATAGTGGTAGAGTCACTGCCGATTGTGGTGGTGTTGGTGTGCCGGAGTATACTGTGGTGATGGTGGTTGTGACGTTGTTCTAGTGGTGGTGATGGGGTTCGCATGATTGTAAATTTATAAAGAATCTATAGGGTATTTTAGTCTTTTGATATCATTTTTGGTGTTTTGACAGAGTCATAGGGTATCAGAGTCATTTTACATAGTGTTAGACCTATGCAGGCGTTAGTTGGGGTGTGAGTGAAATAGGGATCAAATGTAATGTGAGTGAAAGTTAAAACCAAAATGTCTATCTATGTGAAATTTGACCCAACCTGAAGGGGTGTTAGTGTAATTTTCCCTTTTATTTTTAGTTTTACTATGGTTTTTTATTTTTTTATTTTATTTTATATATTTATATATTTAATTTGTTTTTGTTTTGTTTTGTTTTTCCTTTAACATTAAAGAGAAACCTGGAAGTTAAAAATTGTGAAAACAATTGGGTAACGATCTGCATCTCACGTTCGGAATTCTTTTAGAGCTTTGATAGAATGAAGCACTAATCTGTATCCTATTGAAGTGCAATAAGTCAAATTCTTCAAGAACAACAAGCTGTCATCTCCAACTCTTGCAATGTTACTTGTTTTTTCAAATTACACTTCTGTAATTATTCCCAGTTTTATTTTACGCAGTATCAATTTTTCATCCTATTCATCAAGCAAATTAAATCTCATGTATTTTTGTTTTATCATTTCAGCTACAACATAAATTGGAATTATGGATTGCTTCCTCAAACATGGGAAGACCCTTCATTTGCAAACTCTGAAGTTGATGGGGCAGTTGGAGATAATGATCCAGGTAATTTTAGCAATTTGTTGTATCACTGCTTAGATCTTTTGAACATTTTATCCAGGAGATGATGATCCAAGTACTCTTTTAACGGTTTCTTTAATTTTCAGTGGATGTTGTTGAGATTGGCGAAAAACATGGGAAGATTGGCCAGATCTTCAGAGTCAAGCCCTTAGCTGCTCTAGCTATGATTGATGAAGGGGAGCTTGATTGGAAAATAGTTGCAATTTCATTGGATGACCCAAAAGCTTCACTTGTGAATGATGTTGATGACGTTGAGAAACATTTTCCGGTATGTCATGTTACATTTGTAAGGCAGCTTCATTTGCTGGATTATGCTGTGTTGTGGAAAGTTGTAAATATTATTTTTTGGACTTTGCTTTGTTTTGCACACTGAGCTTTCTGTTCTTTTTCTTGTTGGTGTCTCTCATCCATATTGTCAAGGGTATAAAGTAACCTTCTATATTGTTTTCTGAAGATGCTAGTGCTTATAATTTATGGAAGCTCCTAAAATACAAACCAATATTTTGCATTCTTTATAATAAATATTCTATTTTATTGCAAGTTAAGTGAAAAGTAAATGGAATTTGAGGTGTTATTTTTAAGTAGTTATACCGATTGCTTTGAAGATGAATTGTGAATGCATATTTCCATCCTATACTTAACATTGCCTTAATTCGGCATTTTCTTCAGGGAACTCTTACTGCAATTAGGGACTGGTTTAGAGATTACAAGATTCCAGATGGAAAGCCTGCCAACAAGTTTGGTCTTGGCAACAAGGCAGCGAATAAGGTAGCATACCCTTGCAATGCACTGTTATTTTAATTTAATTTTGTTATCCAACAAAGACCTTGTTTACATGACATTTGCAAGCCAAAGACTTGCCATTGCTAATGGTTTTTAAATTTTTTTTTGCTTTCTTTTTCTTAATGATTAATGATAGTTGTAGTGCTGCCAGACAGAAGTTTGTATGATCAGGGCAGTGCCACTCGGCAATGCCTTGCACATTCTTTTTTTAACAAATGCTCTGTTAGTCTCAATAAAAATACCTCCCAGAAATTACCTTTCATTGAGGCTCCATTTTATTAAGAGTCATTTTGCCATGAAATTTTATCACATATCTTTAGTTTTCCTCATACACATTTAACTTGAAAGTTGAAACTTAATTTTCTTCTTTCTTTGGAAAATTTACCACCTTGTATATATTCCTACTGAAACAAAAAATGGTCCATGGCTCCTCAAATAATGGATATTAATCTTTAGTGGGGTGGGAAAATGAAACATTGGCATTATATTCTGTAATGTGAATAACTGTACAATATTACTCATGAAGGGATGAGTTATATATTTACATCCGACGTTATTGCTTCAGTCCTGATTTAGCAGTTTTGTAAACCCGTTCTTGCTACATTTCTTTTCCTTGGAAACTCTAATCCCTGCCTTGCCTGTAGACTGTTTGTGTGTTTGTAAATTGTAATTCCAAACTGAGATTCTTTTAGTGTGGATGAACATATTTTGCAATGGCTTGGACGTCTGACCGTTGTTGGGTTTGGCAATCCACTGCATTGAGTTAAACATAACTGCAGAGTTGACTCAAATGGCTTCACTTGAAACTTTGGCAAAGAAAAGGAAAAGAAACATAAAAGGCAAACATCACATAGCATAAAATGATAAAATGGTTGGTCTCCTTTTATGGGCTGCTAAAGAGAATATAAGCTATCTTAAGTCGTAAGAAAGGCACTTTTTCCTTCTTTTTTATTTCCCCCTTCTTTTCTGTTTAATATCCGGAGATGTTTTTTGTGAAACATATCATGTTGCTTTTTAGCTGATCACTTATATTTATGCATCATGGAGGGATGCCGATCTTCGTTGTTTAATAATATGGCAGCGTAAGAAATTTAATTGCCCAAAGTATTGTTGTTTAGTCTTTATTCTGAATAATATATATTCTTCCGTTAGGAAAGAGCAACCATTCTGAATCATTATAACATAGTGCAATTGTATAATTCTTGCATCAATATTTTGTCTGATTTTAGTAAAGCTTATTTATGTCGACGGATATTATTTCTGATTTTAGAAGTCTTTATATGTTGACAAACAGGAATATGCTCTAAAGGTCATCACAGAGGCTAACGAGTCTTGGGCTAAACTAATCAAGAGATCGGTTCCTGCTGGAGATCTTTCACTTGTGTAAATCCTTTTCGTATGATTGAACTTGTGGTTCGTTGCTTCTTCTCCATGCATCGAACCATTGACATGATTATTTTGTCATATCGGGAGTAGTCCCACAGTAGATACTTAATTTTCTTTTCCCAGTAATATGTTATTATTTGCAACTCTTTTTTGTTGCCCTGTGAGCGAATGTTAAGAAAAAATTAGATAGAAAAGGAAATCAAGAATAAGAAGAAATATTGAGAAGGCTGATGACAAAGATGTTGAGATTTCATGACAGTTAACGTTAGCAGATAGATATGCATGTCTAGTATTGCTGTTGAATTGGATATTTCTTTATAAGATGGTAATTCACTATTTATTTTTTTCCTTGAAAGTTAGACTAAACGCACACACATCTACAATGTTGCACCTAGGAGGGCTTGAACACTCAAATCTCTTGTTCGGGAAGAGAGATTATATCTTCCGGGGAAACTGAATATGTTCCATGCCTAATTTACCGGTATTTTTATGCAGAGTATGAACTCGTTGTCTATAAATACTGTTTGGACTAAAGGCCAATGTATGAGAAGGCTGATGACAAAGAAGATGCTGAGATTTCATGATAGTTAAGGTTAGCAGATAGATATGCATGTCTAGTATTGCTGTTGAGTTGGACATTTCTTTATAAGATGGAGTTCACTTTTTTATTTTGAAATAATTTCATTACACCCTTTAAGTTTGGTCAAATATTACGTAAGAACGTCTTTAAAAAATTACTATTACTCCAATGACTTTTCCAACACCTTTCAATTTGATTGAAAAGACAACTTTACTCTTATTTTTTAATGGCTTTTATTGTAAAATATCCGAAAAAAAAAAAAAAAAAAAAAACTGAAAGAAGGACAATGCCCTTACCCTCATTCCAAATTTCACACTCCGCCTCTCTTACTACAAACCCTAATTATCATAAACTCAGCTGAATTTAGTATCTGACTCAAAAAACCCCCAAGTTGAGATATACCCGAAGAAGTGGTAATGGAATTGTTTGCAAACAAGCTGTGCTATCTATACGAATGGAGCAATTGTGATAACAGAACTCATATTATTATTATATATGCAATTAGTGAAGCACAGCATGGGTCGACATTGATGAATTTGGGTTTACCCAAAAAGGTCGTATTGACCGCAACGCAATGATCTTACTGTGGGTCGCCATAATGGCGACCCATGCTGCTGATAAAGGTCGGCGACCACCCGGTCGCGGTCCATGGAGAGCAAACCAGGTCGCCGCCGGCGACCTGGTACAAGGAGAAAGGGCAGCGAGCATCACCAAGAAGAAGATAAACAGTGTATGAGAAGAAGCAGCGACCACGTGGTCGCTATTATCGTCGTTCTGGCATCGAGAGAGAAGAGGCGACCAAAGTGCTCGCCGGTGATGAGGAACCATTAAAGGCCTCTCTTCTTTGCCGAAAGTGATGAATAACAAGAGAATAAAATAAAATAAAAAAGGAAAAAGAAAAATTCTTTGCGGAAGAAGAAAAGGAAATTAGAAAATAAAAAAAATAAAAAAAAAGGAAAAGAAAAAGAAAAAGATATAAAAAAGGTGGAGAAAACTGGTGTGTAAGAGAAAAAATATATATATATATATACAAAATAATTATAAATTTATATAACAAGGCTTAAAGGGTATTAAAGTCATTTTAATATATTTTATTTAGTTAACAGATAGTTAGAAGGATATTAATGTTATTTTACATACAAAAAGTATTTAATACACTTTAAAAGTAACTTTTGGGGTGTAATATTTGGTTAAACTTGAAGGACTATCAGTAAAATTAACCTTTTCATTTTTTTATCTTTGGTTTAACTTTTTCATTTTTTATTTTTGGAAAGTTCGAGTAGACACACACATCTAAGATGTTGCACTTAGTAAGACTCGAACACTCAAATCTCTCATTTGGGAACAGATTATATCATATGGGGAAACTGCATGTGTTCCATGCCTCATTTACCGGTTTTATGATGCCGTATGAACTCGTTGTCTATAAATACTGTTTAGACTAAAAGCCAATGTATGAATTTCAATTTCCATTTTGATCCTCAACTAAAATGGCCACTGACATTGAGATGGAAAGCTGTTTCACAAGCACAAGAAACAGCTTAGACTCGATTGTGATTCGTTTACAGGTCGGAAGTGAGATTGAAAGTTGTTGTTGTAGGCATCACATTGGGTCGAAGTGTTGGACTTTTGGGTTGACATTGAAAGATTGAATGTGGATCGTATTGAAAATTTTCAAAGCATCACTCAAAGAAGGTTTTTATCTGAAGATCCGAAATGCAATTGTTGACGAAATTTTTTTGATATGAATGTCAACACGATTCAAACAGACCATGAAATTAACATGTTTAAATTGATGTGTACCCTTCGTGAAAGATTTGACTGGCCTTTTGATTTGTGGCACTGGCTGACTGGCATGTGCGCGTGTGTATATACATAATTATATATATATATAGAGAGAGAGAGAGGCGCCAAACAGTGGGTGGAGTAAAAAACAGTGAAGCTAGGTCTGAAATTGTAATCGTGGTTTAGAAAAAAAAAAGTGATTGACTTTCCATTCCATTCTTACACTCGCAACCAAACAGCCAAATTAGAATGTTTCTCTTCGACACTGTCAACGAATGGAATTAACACGTGCTGAGCGACAACACGCACGTGCCACCCAGTGAACCATTTCCCAAAACACACACTTCAATCATAATCAACCCAGACTGGCGCACTAAAATCTCCCAAAATTCGCCAAATTCGCACACAATCTTCACTCAGATTATCTCAATCCATAGCTCTACTCTCTAAACAGAAAATACTGAACTGGGTTTCTCTCTTCTATGGATTCGATCCTCACCTGAGACTACTAATCTCCATTGATTCCATTCAAATCGGTTCGTTTTTCCAATTCATATATGTTACATTTTGTTCCTTAGACTACTTATCTCATTCTTCACTTGGTCTTCGATCCACAAATTCTATTATTTTCTTACAAAATTGTTTTATGTTGGCTAAAATTGCTTTAAATTTATTTAACCAGATTGTACTGAACTGGGTCTCTCTGTTCTGTTGATTTGATCTGTTCTTCAAATGGGTTCCTTTTGCAATTCACATATTATAGTGTTTTCTTTTCGTTTCTTAAGAAAATCTAGTAGTTTATACTTCTTTTGATCTTCGACTCTCAAACTCTAATATACATTTGTATGTTTTATTGGCTAAATTTGCTTAAAACTTGTTTAATTAGTGAAACTTGATCAAACCCTTATAATAGAATCCATTCTCTATGCCTTGTAATGGCTTCGATTCGGAGAACTCTCTCAATGCATCAAGACCGTCCGTATCAGAACGGAGAGAGCCCATTTTCTGTATCGTCACCATCTCATAAAGTTCTATCTAAGAGTAAATTTTGGTCTCCTGTGTCCACATTTGATGTTAGAATCCGTAGTTTTCTTGCTGGTGTTTTCTTTCGCAATTACATTCGTAAAGGCCACCGGACATGGAGGAAACATTTTTATGGGTGCTTGTTGTTTTTCTTGATTGGGCTTTTGTTAGGTATGTTATCATTTGGTAATATTGGTGTTAAAAATAGTGGTTTTTCGTCTGAGATAAAGCCGGAGCCGGTCAATGTTAAAGAGGATGTTAATGATGTGGTTGCTAGACCGGAGAATTTAGTGGTGGATATGGTGGAATTAGGTGTTGAGAGGAGGTTGAATGTGAAGGAGAGGTTTGATTTGGTCCCCCGGAAACAGCTAATTGTGGTTACTCCAACATATAATCGTGCAATTCAGGCATTTTACTTGAATAGATTGGGGCAGGTGCTTAGGCTCGTTCCTCCACCCCTTGTGTGGATTGTGGTGGAAATGAATTCGGCATCAATGGAAACTGCTGAGATACTGAGAAAAACTGGTGTTATGTATAGGCATTTAGTGTGCCCAAAAAGTTCAACGAGCATAAAGGACCGAGGTGTTCACCAAACGAATACGGCTCTTGAGCACATTGAGCGTCACAAACTTGATGGGATTGTTTACTTTGCAGATGATGATAATATCTATTCACTCGAGTTGTTTGAAAGCATGAGAGAAATCAGGTATTTTCATTTGATTTTGTTTGTAGTTTCTATCAAAATGCATTCCATTTCTGATATGTCATGGTGGTCAATGTTGGACCTCTTGTTGGGTCTAAGCAGTTCGAATAGGTGTCATTGTTTGTTTCTGCTGATACAATAGTGAGAAACTGACTATATGTAGTAATAAATATACTTCTAATTTTCTGAGTATCTAAAATAGGGTAATAAAAGAATTTGACATTAGTATCCTTTCAATTGAGTTGTTAGAAATCAGGAGAGAATACAGGTATCGAGCTTGACCTGTTTGGTGTTTACTAAGATACACATTTAACTGTGTGTTATAATAATAATGTCGCAAGCCTTGTTGGATATCAAACAGTTCAATTTTGTATCAGTATTTGTCTTGCTTTGTTTTATGTATACAAAATCTACATTTATGGAATTATTGTGTAAAAGGCATTGTTGGGGATGAATAATGTCTCTGTATTGACATTATTTTCTAAATTGCCTTGACATTACGTAGCCATCGCATGTTACATATTACTTGTGCCTCAGTTATTCTGTTCCTCGATATGTTTATACTTTATAGTAGCTTACTAGTCTTTCATGTTCTTCTACTGTAGTATTGCGCATCACATTGTTTTTACTTGATCTAATTCTTCGTTGATAAGATATCATTGATGCAAATAGGTTCTAATTGCTTAAGCCTTTTAATAGAGTAACTCTTATAACAAGATACTGCTTCTACGGTTGAGTTAGGAATTGATTCCTGATCTCCGAATCACTCCAGTTCTACCAAATTAACTTGTTATTTTATATTTGCTCCAAAATATTTTACATGACAAGTGCATATTTGGAGGATCGAAATAATTTGCCTGTTTGGAGAAGCTGAAGGGAATTTGCTGTTTGTTTTCTTCCTAGTTGATACTGCCACCCCCTGCCCGCCCGCCCCGCCCCGCCCTGAAGGAATTGTTAGTCGAACCTTAGATCTGATGCTTTGTTAGGCACCAGGGCCAAGTTCTTACCCACTTGAGCCAAGTAGCCAATCCCTTGGGGTTGAATTTGCAGTTTAAAAATCACTGGAAATGTGGGTGGAGTTTTTAGTCTCAAAACTAGTAAAACCCTTGGTGAATAACAATTTTAAACACATAGGAAGTGAAAAGAGACATATTTGAAACCTTAAAAATTTTACACTGTTAAATTGAATAGTTTCTAGCATAAAGCATAAGCAAAGTCAACACTATGTTCTTCGTTACAAAAAAATCAAAAAATAATGCTTTAGGGACCTAATATATATATTTTTAAATATCTTTTCAATTTTTTTGGTTATTCTTGTTTTTTTGGCAAGTGAGTTACTATATATTGTAAAAGCATGAAATGTGGAAAGCAAATTTGTAAATGGAAATAGCCCTAAAAACCATGGTTCATACTTGGTATGCCATTCTTGTATGTTGAAATATATGTTGTATGACTAAATTTCCGCATTCTTGAAATTATGACATTCTTCCTTCACATTGTAGCTGATTTCACTACACTTTTTATTTAAGAAACCTTTTCCCAACTATTTAATGTCATTTACATGAATTTTGTTTCGCCATCTTACATTATCTAATGTCATAGCCTAAGTTAATCTTCATGCTATCATTCTTTTGTTACTATCATAATCCATATTAGTTCTAATCTTCCCCTTTCACTAATGTTACCCTCAGTAAAGATTACGTCACTTTTTCTAACCAATGCAGTCATCGCTCCACATGGCCAAACCAATTTAAGTGGCTTTTTCTTATTTTACCTCTCCAATAAGTGCTACTTCCAAACATCTCAAGAATGTATTTATTTCTAATTTTATACTTTTTATTTTCTTTTTAGCCACATGTCCATCTCCTCATCTGCATTTCTGCAATATTTAATTTATTAATATGTTGTTTCTTAGTTGTCCAACATTATTTTCTTTAAAGTATGGCTAATTTAGTGGTGGTTTTATAAAATTCACCTTCTTAACCCATTTAACCCATCCTGCTTTAATTTTATAATCTTATGACCAATGTCGTCTTCAATTTCTCCCTCCTTGTGATTAAGGTAAATCTTCACTACACCGCTACACTTTTTTTTTTTTTTCCTAGTTGGGAAACTCACACACACTGCCTCCACTGAGGTTCGAACCCTTTGGGAAGTAGGAGCCTTGTACCGCTAGGCCACAGGCCTGTTGGTACTACACCGCTACACTACATTCCTCATATAATTATTTTGTTTTATTTATTATTTTTCTAAATTCGTCTTTCTACTAGGATGGCTATCCTATTGTTTTGCGGTATTATCATCTACAAGATTTTGATTTGGGGAAAAGAGGAACTCACAAATTTCCCAGATTCTCGCTACCGTTGCCAACAGAAGAGATGAATTCTTTCAGAAAGTGTTTTGTCTAAATAAAATTTGAAGATTAAGGCATATAATTTTACCGTATTATTATTATTTTTCTCTTCAGTAGGTCTTACTCCCTGAGTAGATTCTCACTCCTTATAATCTTCATATTACTTTTTTAAGATTGGGCTCAGTCTCTCTCTCTCTCAACAATCAATTGAACCTTTTCGTGTCTAAAATATATATGATGGCATTTTTAAAGAGTGAAGCCCTGTTGGATTCTTTTCTTTTCCTTCTATCTTCCCGTGCTTATATTCGCTTATGCAAATTCGTTATATTTACATGTGTTTGTAGCCGTTTTGGCACGTGGCCTGTTGCCATGCTTGCACCAAATAAAAACAGGGCAATATTGGAAGGTCCAGTATGCAATGGAAGTCAAGTAATTGGATGGCACACAAATGAGAAGAGCAAAAGACTGCATAGATTTCATGTCGATATGTCAGGGTTTGCATTCAACAGCACCATATTGTGGGATCCGAAGAGATGGCACCGCCTCAATTCTGATCCAATTCGACAGTTGGACACTGTGAAGGAGGGCTTCCAAGTATGCATTATGTTATTGCATTTTCCGATGTTCTTTACAATTTCTTCAATAAATAAAATGCACCTAAAATTGAGTATGCAATGGTAAGTTTTATTTAGCAGCATCTGCGACTTTTTTCACAGGAAACCACATTTATAGAACAAGTGGTCGAGGATGAAAGTCAAATGGAAGCTATACCCCTTGGTTGTTCAAGTATATTGAATTGGCATCTTCATTTGGAAGCTCGTGAACTTGTCTATCCAAGAGACTGGCTGCTTGAGAAGAACCTTGATGCTGTTCTTCCCGTCAAGTGATCTTACTTTAACCCTGCAATATGGATGCAGGGAGCCCAAAAGAGGTTTGATATTGAGTTGTATATTTATGCACTTTGAGCTTTTAAATATATACAATTCTCTGACGTTGTTTGTTCGGGAGGTTGGCTTACTTCAATATGTGTGCGTGCCTGTGGGGAAAAAAGTTCCCTTTGCATTTTAAGTTGGGTTAGCAAGTTGCCGCCATAAGCACAGCAGCAATGCAAGGTTTCAAGCTAATAGATTACAAACAAATAGAAGAATCGGTGTTTGTAAGTTGATAGATTTTCTCCTCTATATTCTTTCCCGGAAAGAATTACAATTTTGTTGTAAAAAACGCGTTGTTTTTTCTTTTGTGTCAAGGGTGTAATTGCTTCTTAAATTTCCTCAAATGATTCACATCCCAGTTCCCGTACCCTATGACATTGAAGGTGTTTGTGCTATGGAGTTGATTGTTGTGGATTATGAGAGGTAGGCCTTGTATCAAAAATCAAGAAACAATGGCCACCCCTAAATTGTATTAATTTGAAATTTCATTTTTCCTCTGCAATCTTCAAAATGTTATGTGGATTTAACATTTCTGGTTTCTAGCAGTGTGGTTGAAAATTGGAGCTCTATGTGCAGGAAGATATGTAAGTCTTTGATTTGATTCTTTTCATTTCATACAGAATTATTTTCCCTCATAAAGATGGAAGACAAAGAAGTGGATGTTGGAAATTGAGTCACAAGTCAAATGACATTGAGATTATTAGCACTCCAAAAATAAAATAAAATAAAATAAAAGTCTAGCATTTCACTTATTGTGATATTTAGATGAAAGAAGTGGAGTGCGAGATTTGTTTTAAAACCTTGATATTATGTAACATTTCTTTGGTCAGATGACACAAATTTCACATATCTTTAAGTAGTACACTGGAACTGGATGTGCTTTAATACTTTTAAGTAGTAATTTTGAAAAGAAGAGAAATGGAGTAGAAATATTTTAGTGTAACGGGAATATTCAACCGTTCATACATTACATGTGTAATACATGACAAACGGTTCGGATACGCCCGTTGTACAGCGCAGCTGGCATAATAAAGTTTTTCTCCAAAAGGAGGGGAAAGAAATTTGATACATCCATTGGATTTGGAGGATGGCGACAGGTGTTGGTGGAAATGTGAATCTCACCACATGATATTACTATGACATCATGTGACGGGGGCCCACATTTCACTCGCATATTACCTATTCTGCATCTCCGAATTCGAAGGATGTATCATTGCTCAAATTGTGTGAACACCCATTAATTTTCAAAATTAGGTTGGATTTAAAATTCAAAATGGAATTTACTAATTAATCATTATAGGAAACAAAATTATATTTCATTCCAGGGAGGACGTCTCTTGTTGTTTGGATTGAGTAAAATAAAAATGGATTTGTATTTTAAACGAAATTATTTAAAATCTCATGAAAAAAAGTCAAATTTCATATATATAAAAAAAGGGGACAATGCTTGTCTTATGAGGATGAATTTCATCATCCAACTGATGTGCTCCAATATAATTAGAACACATATTTAAAAAATAAAAAATTCAATGATGTGGATTACCCATTTCTTACAGGTTAAACCCCCCTCTTTTTTTTCTTTTTCTTTTTTTATTCTTTCCTTCTAGTTTTGTTTTGTTTATTTTTTTATTTTATTTTATTTTATTTTATTTTTAATTTTTTAAATCATGATCACTTACCTCTCTCTTTCCCTCTCTCTCCACACAAAAACGAATCATTTTTTAACCATAATATTGTTGTATAACGATATTTTTTTTCTCTTTTTATTACAAGTTTTCTGTGCTTGATATATGATTATTTAATGAAAATCAATTTTCTGTGCTTTGTTTTAATAATAAAAGCTTTGATCAACTCCATATCAATTAAAAAAGAGAGGTTAGAGGTGGTTATTGGGTGAAGGGATACATCCGATTCAATCATGTTCTATTTCTAGTTTTGTAAGGAATAAAATCCAAATTTAATTTGTAATGGCTAAACAATTGCTTAATAACAACTATAATATTTATAATATTTGTGTAATTATGTTTGAGATGAAAGAGGAAGAAATAGATTTTTGTTGAGGGAAACAGAGGTAAAAGATCTTGATTAAGAAGGAAAGCAAAAATGAAAATAAAAAAAAAAAAATAAAAAAAAAGAAAGAAAAAAAGAAAGAAAGAAAAAACGATTTAACCCTTAAAAATGGGGTAACGTCCATATTTAATATTTACTTTTTTAGAAACATGTTCTAATTACATTGAACCACGTACCAAATCCTAAAACAATAAAATTTATTTATGCAAATTTTAAGGTTTATTGACCTACATTTTATTACCATCACTAAAAAAAAGGATTAAATGCATTAAACCCCCCAAACTATAATTAAATTGGAAGAAACTCCCCTAAACTAAAACAAACCCCTTAAACAATGTTTTCTTTGCATTAACCCCATCACGGCAGCTTTAGACGCCGGAAAATGGAAAAGACCAGCGTACCCTTTTAAAATAGGACGTCATTTTAAACTTACACACTTAATTCGTCTTGGCCTGTGGTTAAAAAGAGAGAAAAAAAAATCTATTGTACTTCTACTCCATAGCATAGCAGACGAAATAGAAGAAAAACATCACAGGGACAACACCTTTGAGATCATCATCATCTTTTATGTCATTGATAAGGCTGATGAGCAAAAGGAGGACAAGAGTGTGTTTATTTGTTGTTGTGTACACGACTTCTTATCATCCACTTGGAACCTTTTCAAATCCATTCTCTCAATCAACCTTTTCAAATCCACTCTCTTGGTACGAATCAACCTTTTCAGTCACATGATCATCTTTTTCTGAGAGGAGTGAGTTTGATTTGGGGAAGCAATTTTGGAATTTTTTGAAATTAGGGTTCTAAAGAATTGGGAATTTTTTTGTGTGTATATATATACAAGAGAGAAGATTTTGTACTCAGGATATATATATATATACACACGTGTGTGTATCTTTTTGACTTACCATGTTTGTTTCATGCGAAACATTTAATGCAAACCTGCTAATCAAAAATCAATAAATGAAACTTCGCTAAATCCCACATATGCATATATATATATATATATATAAATATGTATGCCTTCCTATTATATATCAAACAAATCTCTTTCATTTTCCAATGTTTTTTACAATTTCTTCAATAAATAAAATGCACCTAAAATTGAGTATGCAAAAGTAAGTTTTATGTAGCAGCATCTGTGGCTTTTTTCACAGGAAACCACACTTATAGAACAAGTGGTCGAGGATGAAAGTAAAATGGAAGCTATACCCCTTGGTTGTTCAAGTATATTGAGTTGGCATCTTCATTTGGAAGCTCGTGAACTTGTCTATCCAAGAGACTGGCTGCTTGAGAAGAACCTTGATGCTGTTCTTCCCGTCAAGTGATCTGACTTTAACCCTGCAATATGGATGCAGGGAGCCCAAAAGAGGTTTGATATTGAGTTGTATATTTATGCACTTTGAGCTTTTGAATATATACAATTCTCTGACGTTGTTTGTTCGGGAGGTTGGCTTACTTCAATATGTGTGCGTGCCTGTGGGGAAAAAAAGTTGCATTACCATTTTTAGGCAAATTGATACCTTTATTTATTTATTTTTTTGGTTCTGTGGCCATTTCTCTTTTCTACTTGTCAAAACAATCTTCTAATGCTATTACCGGTTTTTTCTTTTTTTCATGGCAGTTCCCGTTGCATTTTAAGTTGGGTTAGCAAGTTGCCGCCACAAGCACAGCAGCAATGCAAGGTTTCAAGCTGAGAGATTACACACAAATAGAAGAATCTGTGTTTGTCAGTTGATAGATTTTCTCTTTTATATTCTTTCCCGGAAGGAATTACAATTTTGTTGTAAAAAACCAGTTGCTTTTTCTTTTGTGTCAAGGGTGTAATTGCTTCTTAAATTTCCTCAAATGATTCACATCCCAGTTCCCACACCCTATGACATTGAAGGTGTTTGTGCTATGGAGTTGATTGTTGTGGATTATGAGAGTTAGGCCTTGTATCAAAAATCAAGAAACAAGGGCCACCCCAAAATTGCATTAACTTGAAGTTTTCTTTTTCCTCTGCAATCTTCAAAATGTTATGTGGATTTAACATTTTTGGTTTCTAGCAATGTGGTTGAAAATTGAGCTCTATATGTTGGAAGATATGGTAAGTCTTTGATTTGATTTTGTTTCCTTTCATACAGAATTATTTTCCCTCATAAAGATGAAGACAAAGAAGTGGATGTTGGAAATTGAGTCACAAATCAAATGACATTGAGATTATTAGCACTCCAAAAATAAAAATAAAATAAAAGTCTAGCATTTCCTTCTTGTGATATTTAGATTAAAGAAGTGGGGTGTGAGATTTGTTTTAGAGCCTTGATATTATGCAACATTTCTTTGGTCAATTGACACAAATTTCACATATCTTTAAGTAGTAGACTGGAACTGGATGTGCTTTAATACTTTTAGTACTTTTGAAAAAAAGAGAAAAGGAGGAGAAAAACTTTATTGTGCCAATTGTACTGTGCAACGGGCGCATCCAACCATTCATACATAGCATGTGTAATACACGACAAACGGTTCGGATATGCTCGTTGCACAGTACAGCTGGCATAATAAAGTTTTTCTCGAAAAGGAGGGAGGAAGAAATTTGGTCCATTCACTGAATTTGGAGGATGGCAACATGTATTAGTGGAAATGTGTATCTTACCACATGATATGGCTGTGACATCATGTAATAGGGGCACACATTCCACTTACATATTACCTATTCTGTATTTTCGAATTTGAAGGATGTATTATTGCTCAAATCAGTATGATGTGTGAACACCCATTAATTTTCAGAATTAGGTTGGATTTAAAATTCAAAATAGAATTTACTAATTAATCTTCTATTATTTTATTGTTGTTTGCGACAAGCCATTATTGGAAAAAAAATTGTATTTCATTCCAAGGAGGACGTCTCTTGTTGTTTGGGATGAGTAAAATTAAAATGGATTGAAATTGCAAAATTTAAAATATTAGTATTTTAAAATCTCATGAAAAAAAGTCAAATTTTATATATAAAAAAAGGGACAATGCTTAGGTCCTTCTCTTACAAAGATGAATTCCATCATATGCTGAAGTGGTCCAATGTAACACATATTTAAAAAGTAAAAAGTTCAATAATGGGCATTACCAATTTCTTACAGGTTAAACCCTTTTTTTTCCCTTCTTTTTTTATTCTTTCCTTAACCCTTTTTTTATTTTTATTTTTATTTTTTAATTATTATTTTTTAATTACGATCATTTCCCTCTCTCTCCACAGCAAAACGAATCCCTTTTTAGCCCTAATATTGTTGTATAACGATCTTTTTTTATTACAAGTTTTCTGTAATTGATATATGATTATTCAATGAAAAACAGTTAAAAAATCCTAGTTGTTTTAATAATAAATTTTTTGATCAACTCTATATCAATTAGAAAAGAGAGTTGGTTATTGGGTGAAGGGATACATCATATTCAATCTTGTTTTGTTTCTAGTTTTGCAAGAAATATGACCCAAGTTTAATTTGTAATGGCTAAACAATTGCTAATATTTGTGTAATTATGTTTGAGATGAAAGAGGAAGAGATAGATTTATTTTGTCGAGGGAAAGAGAGGTAAACGAGATTGACATAAGTTAAACAATAAACTTCACCTGAGCATTGTCTTATAACAATAAAATTTATTTACTCAAATTTTAAGGTTTATTGACCTACATTTTAGTACCAACACTCAAAAATAAAATCTCATTTTTCTTGTAAAACGACCCGTTGTCTTACCTTAAAAAAAAAAAAAACCCTCAAAATAAAATTTCACTTCAAATCCAATTGAATTCCTTTTCTGAATTCCCAATAAAAAATAAATTTGTTTTAAAAGAGAGTGAAATTACTATATAGCCCCTTAGATTTCACTAATATGAATCTGACGAGTCTTCCTCTCCCCTTTCTGCAGACAGACTAGAAAAAGAAAACAACCCGAATAATTTTGGAGGCATTGAGAATGGAGGGTTGGGACCCGAACACGAAATCGACTCTGACGCAGATACCTCTGCTGTCGACCAAGGCCGGTCCACGCGACGGAGCTCTGTGGACGCAGCGGCTGAAGGAGGAGTACAAGGCGTTGATAGGTTACACTTCCATGAATAAGTCCAAGGACAACGACTGGTTCCGGATCTCCGCCGCCAACCCCGAGGGCACACGGTGGACCGGCAAGTGCTGGTACGTCCACAACCTTCTCAAGTACGAGTTCGATCTCCAATTCGACATCCCCGTCACCTACCCTTCCACTGCCCCCGAACTCGAATTGCCCCAACTGGATGGCAAGACCCACAAGGTTCGATTAGGTTTAAATTTTTTATATCAAATTTTGTTTGTTAATTTATTTATCTGTGTGTTTGTGTGTGTGGGAATGAAGTAATTTGATTTGGGTTTTTGCGGATTTTGTTAGATGTATAGAGGAGGGAAGATTTGCTTGACTGTGCATTTCAAACCGCTCTGGGCTAAGAACTGGTATGTCCTTTTTTATTTTTATTTTTTATTGTCATTATCTTTGGTTTGAATTTTTTGGATTGGAATTGTTGAAGTCTTATCTTAGTGCTTGATTTGAATTATTCATTGGAAAAATATGATTTGATAAATTAATATTTTTATTTATTTTTCAATTGGGGAAAGCATTCAAAATTATTGCATCACATTGGGGAGAAAATATAAAGATCCCAAAACGAGCATATTAAACATCTGACTATACACACAGACTGATTTTTATTCAGCATATTTATGTATAAAAATCATGTCTTTACACCCTTGAGCTCGCCACATGTCAACCCTAATATATAATTTTGCATAATGGATGCCTGTTTAATAAATAACGAGTTAAGCTAAGCACTGAAAACAATTAAATTCCATACTCATGCACATTTATATGGAGTATCATATATACAGTTGGAATTAGCAAAGAGAAACATAGTTGATCAAAGTCATCAATGATTTAAACACAAATTGTTAGATCTCAATAGGGAGGCACTCTGAGCCAAACACTGCCTTCTTGGCCAATGATAGAAGCAATGGTGAGGTGATTGCCTTCAGTTTGGCACATTAAGTGCTCATCTGTATATGCTTCCCATGACACCTTAGTTTGTATCTACAAAATTTACCCTCTTTTTTATTTTATTTTATTATCATTACTATTTTTTATGATGATTCGCTTGGTTTAAGATTTCTAGACTTTTTACCGAGCAAATGGAGTGATGAAAATGGGGGGTTTCTTAAGGTTGCGTTGAATTAATCGTTTTCGAGAATTAGGCTTGGTTGAGAACTTTATTTTTTTTTGTTTTAATGGTTTCAATGAATGGAAAATTTTGTGATTCATAAGTTACATATTCTTTTCTTCTTTTAAATAATTCTCAGCGGTCAATCAGCACTTAGTTTTCTCTCAGGCAATTTTCTTTATTTTCTTATATACTGCAATTGCAGGTGACTTGTTCTAATATATATATTTTTCGGTTTCTGTTCTGCAGTCCTAGGTTTGGTATAGCGCATGCTCTTTGTTTGGGTCTTGCACCATGGCTTGCAGCGGAGATTCCCATTCTTGTGGATTCTGGTATGGTTAAGCACAAAGATGATGCTGCCTCATCTAGTGAGTCGTAGCAATTCTTTGTTGTAGGCTGACGTTTAGCTTTCTGAGATCTTAGCGTGAGCAAAGAATAAATCTCCCGAGTCATTAAGCATGCGATTTATGCATGTCCTTTGAAGTGTGTAACATGTCCGCTGAAATTATATTTACATGATCTGGAACATATTCTTGAAAAGCTTCTTGCATAATAGAATATAAGCATCCTTTATGTGAATTGAGACACCTTTCTAATAAGCTTTTTATGTGCTAATCCCCTGTGCTTGCCGTGAATTTTCATTCTATCCTATATGTATGGTACTTGCATATTTTTGGTTTCACATGTGATAAAACTTAAATGTGTTGAAATTTCAATTTCTGTCATTTGATCAATCTTTACTTTTAGATTTCGAGTTGCACCATGGGCGGAGGGAAGGGGCATGGCCCCCCAATTTTTTTTTTTGAAATATCTTGTTTATAGCTCCTTTTAATAATTATTAGTGGTGGGTTTGAAAAAATAAAAATAAAAACTTAGATTGTTCTCCCCAAATATTTTTGAAACATCTTATTTATAAGTCTCTTAATAATTTATTAACCTTGAGTTTAAAAAACTTACATGTGACTTTCCAAAGTTAATTAACACCCTTTTATTCTTGCTTTAGAAAATTCAAATCTAGTTAAAACAAATAAAGTAATGAAGAAGTTATTTCGTTATAGTGGTTGTCCTTACTATTATGGATGGGGTGGATTTCCCTAAACCCTACCCTGCCCTGCTAAACCGAGAAGTTTTCCATACTTGTCCCGAACCTGGGGACATATTTCCTCCTGACAGTCCATCCCCATTTATAAAGGGGATGGAGAAGCCCGTCACCACCCTGTTTATTTAGCGAGATGGGTCAGGACCCTAATCAGCCCATTAAATGGAAAGACAATAAAAGAACTTAAAACCAAAATGATTTGAAGTTTCAAGGCTACATAACAAACTCAAATATGGATTCTGAAGTGAAAAATACCCATGAAAAAATCAACAAAAAAAGAAAGAAAAATGGTTGCCATTGTCGAAGAGAGAGAAAGAGAAAAAAAAAAAATACTCAGATTTGAAGAAACACCATACACTAACCTTCGGCTTCCATGCATCAAATTTAGAAAAATCCAAATGAATGTTCCAAAAACATCACTTGCAGCTCTCATACTCATGTTTTCAAACTCTCAATACTGACCACACATAAGTTACAAAGCATATTCATAGTGGGTGGTGAGTAGACAATCATCGGAGATAAATAGCCGCCAGTCCTTGGTCATCGAAGATTGCTAGTTAGAATGGCGTGGAGTTGGAGAAAGGCGGTTGTTGATTGAGGAGTAGCCTTTTCTAAGGTTAGTCTTAGTAAAATCTAGTAAGAATAAGGGTATAAAGGTAATATTGTTATATGTTTGGGGTAGGGTAAACAAAAACACTGCCCTTAACCTGACTCGGGTTCAGTTTTTAATCCCATACCCGTACTTATTAAAAAAAATAGCTTCCTATACCCATCCGGGCAGAAACTTGCTGGGTCGGGTGAAATTGCCATCCCTATTTACTACAACATATCAATGCTACATTCAAATATATATATATATATATATATCACTTATTATCTATATGAATTTAAGAGAAAAAATGAATGTTCAACACTTGACGGCCTCATTTATTGGCTGGTAGCATGTTTCTTTCTTTTTTTTTTTTTTTTTTTTTTCCTCGTTGCCTTTTTGTATTAGTCTCTTCATCTTATTTATTTAAGTTTTGTTATCGTAAATTTTAACGTTATAAGTTCCTCATTATTAAGATTATATTAAGGATAGGAAAAAGTTATGATGAAGGTGCTCTCATTAAGCTTGCGCACTTTAGCCATCGAGTTGCAGCCTCTCAATCTAATAGTTACACAAATGCAATCTAGTGAAAGTGTCTTCATGATAGACATGCTCGTTAAAACAAACATATCATAATATTTTCACTTTAATAATAAAATTCTAATTATATAGTGCTTTTACTTTGGCTCCCAACCGAGTATATTTGGCTCCGCTGAGTTGCACTTGTATCCAAATACACTTGCATCTGGAATTGGTATTTTGTATTTGGAGCTCACTTATGGTCTTTCACAAATCTATTTGTGCATTTCAATTGACACCGCATGTATTGAGTAAAGGATAGTTCATTGTCCACACTTGTACTTCCATTATTGGTCAGTTTTCATTTCTCATTCCTCTTTGATTATTGTAGTTATCCGTGTTTCTCTTATTTGTGTGTGTTGTCTTATCTCTATGCCAGATATTCCTTGATTGAATGTTTATTTGACGTAACCTCATTCTTGGTGCAAGTGAGTTAACTTCTGTTGTCTTTTAAGATTTGCTTGATCTTAGCTTCCTTTAGTATTCCATTGGATCTCCATTATGTGAGAAACATGAAGGTCCGAGTTTGAATATCAATACAATTTTATGATCACGGATGTGATAATTGAATAAATGAAGAAAAAGATTACTATGACCATTGAAGATTTTCTAAAGGCATACGAGGTTATGGAGGAACTGCTTGCTGGGTTGGGTTGCAAACTAATCTATGCTTGATCGGTTGATCCTTGGGGCTTAAAGGTTGCATGTGTCCCAGCCCGTGTGTTTTACATCATGTGTCACTAAAGTAGCCGTATCAATTATCTCAACTGGATGTCCTTCATGTGTGCATCTTCCCTCAATCACGGTCCGCTAAGATTGTAACATGTGATATATATCCATTTTCTGCACACCTATTTGAGATGGTGTTTTCACAGTCCCTTTATAGGTCAGCGGCGTGATGCCTTGACCTAAGACCTCAAATGGGGGCAATTGTGAGGCACGCCTATGATTAGCATAGTTGGTTACCACGATCAAGATGGTGTCTTTCACTGCACCTCCATTGCCTCAAGCCCCACATAAGCTGCCTTCTGGCACTTGCATTCTCCTTGAGCTAGTGCACTGCTGCCAAGGGACTATTGGGTTACATAGTGCTGCTTTGCATAGCGGTGTGATTACCACACAATATTACTTACCCATTAGGTTTCAGGGGTTTTATAGTTTGGCGGGTAGAATAGAGGGCTTGTCAAGATGTAACCTCAGAAGTAGTCTGTGTTGGCAAATCTTATTGAGAGTTGAGAGAAATATTACGTGAAGTTTTGTTTTTTTTTGTTTTTTCAGACTGGAGTACGCCTTGACTTTAGTCCAACTTTTTAGATTAAAAAATTCTCATTAGAAAAATTAATAAGATCATTGAATGAATAATAAACCTTAGATATGTTAGATAGGGGAGATAAAATCCGTTAAAACTTTGTATTTTTATATAACAAGTTAACCCAATAAATAATAATAAAACTTTGTATTTTTACATAACAATGTTTGAAAAATTAACTTAAGGTCCCTGTTCGATCTATTTGGTTCATCGAAGAGCATTGTGATGTCCAAATGATACTTTCCTCTTATGGAAATTTTTTGAAATTAGTCATACTTGTAGTCTCATTTTTACCTCTCTGGTCTACCCCATCATTAGGAATTGTTGACTACAAATGATTCTCCTACCTTTTATATAGACATTCTTATCTCACAAATGGAGGAGGGTTATGATTATTTACAATGAAGGACTAAGATATATTTTCTAAAACATTAGTGGAAGATATTTGTTTATATCTGAGATATTTACGAACTTTCAACTTTACTTCTATTCGAGTCACTTTTTTAATCTCTACCGATCCTATTCTTTCAATGTTTTAGAATGATCTCTTTCCTTTAAACTCCATAATTCTCTATTCAAACATGAAGACTCTAAAACCCAACACTACCAAGCAAATGCCATGACCCAACGCTTGTGCTCTATTGGCAGGAAATGACAATTAGCAACAAAAGATCTTTGGGGTGGGGTTATTTTTTTATTTTTATTTTTTGTGTTGCTTTGGATTTTGTCGATTTGTTGATTTGGATGTTTTACACCTATTTCCTTTGTATGTATTTTTCAATCACGTACATCTTTTACTTACTAAAGAAAAGATCGCGTAATTATGTCACAATGAACGTTGAATCACACCCTGGTCAACTTTTTTTCGTTGGCATGTGGTTTAGGTGAAGCTGTGGCCTTAAAGTAGAATGACAAAAAAAGAAGAAAAATTGATTTACGTAGCTGACCCCCAAATTTTTGGAAAATGTTTTCCTTAATTGAGGTCGAGTTTTTTATATTTTTTTTGGTTGATCTATGTGGGCCATAACTATAATCATAGGTGTATATTAATTGTTTTTCAAAAGAAAAGAAAAAGACCTAGTATTGGTCCATACCATGTGTACTTTCTTTCATCTTATTTCTTTCTTTGTGCATGAATCATCATCTAAATCAAATAATAAACGGCACTTGCATTTCTTCTCTCTTACATTCCCACAAAAGAAATTCGTATCATTTTGAATCTATAAACAGTATACATACATGAATATATATATATATATATATTGAATTTCTTCTCTCTTACATTCCGACCAGTTCTATATTTTGTACATGTCATAACCAATTTGAGAGAGAAATAGTTGATTACCTTGTATTTGTTCGTTCCGTGGTTGTCCATTTCGGGTTTATTTGGGTGTACGGCAGTGGTTGTTCTGCCACGTAGGTTCACCATCTCTGCTTGCTCAAGAATCATGAGAGGAACCCCCTATGAAATATGACAATCTACAGATCAACTTTACAAACTACATTTCTCTTTTGGCTACACAAGTTTGGAATTTAGGGATGGCATTTTGGCATATTGTCAAGCCAATTAGTGACTTCATAAACCTCGTAGGGCTCAAGGCATTCATTGACCTGGTGCACAGCAGCCAGGGAACTTTGGGTTACATGGTACTTCTTTGCATTGATAACTAAAAAGCACACTACTTATCCATTAGACTCTCGTAGAGTTCTATGGTTTGGTCCATTAGACTCCTAAGGTTTTATGGTTTGGTGTAGGTTTGCCAATGGGGTGGGGATCTCATTCCCTATTTCCATTCCGGTTTAATTTTTTCACTTCCATAACCACCTCAATGTCATCTGAGTTTTTTAAAGTAGCCTTCATTCCGTCTTCATTTACATAATCGGTTCCTCAAAACCGTTCCAAACGGGGTGAAAACTTTTTTCACCTCTTAATCTTCTTTAAAACTCACTTCAAACACCTCAAATCAAGGCTTGAATTTATATAGGCATATATGTGTGCATAGATAAATATATGAAGAAAGAATGAAAGATAATATCTG